CTGTTTTTTTTTCAATAGAAAAAGAAAGAAGAAGTTGGACAGGTGAGGAGGTAGAAAGAACCTGAGACAGATGGGAGAGAGAAACCCATGATCAAAATTTATTGTATGGATTTTCAATTAAAAAGTCAGTAAGTTATATTTATATATTTATTATAATATGAATATGGCATCATAATGATTACAGACAAATAGGCCATTAATTTGAGAGGGGGTGGGAGGGGAGGAATGGAAACTGCTAGAGGAAAGAGGGGGCGGGAGACATATAGTGTTTCAATTAAAACTTTAAAAAACAGTAAGTCAGCCACAAAAGCACCTTTCCCAAACTCTCCCCCTCCTTCAATCATTAAGCCTTGTCTGACTTCAGTTTCTCCATGTTTCCTACTCCATTCCTCCACACTTGTTCTTGAGAAAAGCCAGCCTTGCATGTCGTTAATGCTTTTCATCTGAGGTTCCCCTCATATTTTCTGTTACTCCATGCTCATCTCCGTAACCTTCTCTTTCTCTGTCTTATTTAAAAACTAGTGTTCCCATCTTCAGCATCTCCATCAACAATCTCAACACACTACACACAGACTTCCCACAGTACTCCAAACTTTACCTCTCTTCTGCTTCCAGCCCTGATATCTGACTGTCCACAAGGCCTCACTTGACCTTGCCATGTATCTCTCAAACTGCACTCATCCAGTCTGAAGCCATGATGCAGTTCTCCAATCTCCCCACGTCCCCAAAAGTGAGTCCATTCTAGTCTTTACCCAATCTCTGCTTAGCCACTCAAATGAGCCCCAACTTTCTTGATAGCCCTCTCCTGAGAACTTACATGCTGATCCCCCAATCCCCAGTAATAGATAGCTGTTCATCCTTTGAACAAATCTGGCAGTGCTTCTTCTGTGCCATCTGTCCCCAGTCGCACACCATGGCATTAGACCTTCTTGCTACCCTGTAGGTCACTCTCTGCATCTTTAAGGTGTTGATCTGACCAAGTCATCCTGCCATTCTCTGACCATTTGCATAGTCCTGGAAATCTGACTAGGGAATGGCAAAAGGACAGATGCACAGACTCATTTACAGAACAGCTGAGATCAGGTGGGCCATGTGGACTCTGATGGAGTGGCACCAACTTCCCAGAAACCTCAGCCCTCCACACATGCTTGTATAGCCTAAGACTGCTCACCTACAGAGACCACCTATAGAGACCTCCTACTGACACTACCTAACCTATTCTCTTGTGCTGTATATAATAAATGCTGAGCCATCTCCCTGGCTCTTATCAGAGCATCCAAAGAAATTCGTATTTGACCTTGACTCTCCACTCTGACCTCATTTCAGTACATTCTTTTCTCATTCAGACTATATGTTCCTTCCTTAAGGCTAAACTCATATACATACATCTATGCCCACCCTTGCCATTGAAACTCATGATTCTGTGGCAGAGTTGAGCAAGAATATTCTTTCTTTAAGGAAGCTTCCCCAAGCACCAAGATTTTTGGTCAGCCTCCCTACTATGTAGATCCTACAGAACTCCACATGTCTTCGCCATGCACTTAATGCATTTGCAAGAAGACAAAATATAAATGTTTCTTGAACATCACCTTAACTCATTGGGTTGGGAGGTCCAGGAGCCAGGCACCATGCCTTCACTGTCTGCTGAATCTACCATGGGAGTTCATATGTGCTTGCTAGATGAAGGAGCGTGTGATACAGGGGAGGCCAAAGGAGAATGAAAGTGAGAGTGAGCATTGCTTCTGCTTTGCTGACTCATGGAGAAGATGGCGTTATCAAGCACTATGGCAGGAAGTAGCAGATGCAAACAAGAGGGGTTCCTGTTTGCTCCTGAGTTAGAGAAAGCAGGTCATCACCTGCAGCTTGAACAGTAGGCTATGAGAAGCAGGTCATCCCCAGGGACGAGTGGTGATGAGAATCTCTGAAAAGGACATCTGGCACACTTGCTTGTACCTGCTGGCTGGTCTTTTCCAATGACAGATTCATTGATCTTAGGGAATAAAAGAAGAACAGACTGCAGACAGACTGAGTGGCCTGAGATTCAATTTCAGCCTCACTCACCATTCTGCCCCAGGTTCAAATCTCCATAAGTGCCATCTCTCTTCTCTCCTCTTTTGTCTTATTTGTTGGACTAGAAGCATATCTCTTCAGATGGACAGTGTTGAGAACTAGAGACTGAAGTTGGAGCTGTCAGGAGAAGTCAGCAACACAAGTCCCCAGCACACACTAGACAGGCGAACAGGCAAGAATCTTCCTTGAGCGGGATCCCATATGGCTTTCGAGGGCACCCTACCCTCTTTCTAGCAAAGCCTTTTGCAAAGCTCCATCCTGAGTATCTCAGGGAGTGGTAACTTGAGCTCCCAGCATGACGGAATAATGACCAAATGCAGCTCAATGGTAAAGTTCTGGTATCCCAGGGTGTAGTGTGTGTGTGTGTGTGTGTGTGTGTGTGTGTGTGTGTTGAATATGTGTGGTATACAAATACTGTACATACATGTGTGTAGGTACATGTAGGGCACATGAGACCATGTTACCAGACAGGCATAAGAAGTGGTAAGGTTGAATGAGCTCAAACCCTAGGAATCTTAGAATTGAGAACGGCAGGAGTTGGAGCCATTTCCTACCTGCCTCTACCTGCTCTGGAACACCCTACTAAGCACCATGGGTACTGGTTCATGGATCATAAACACCTGGAGTTCTTCACTGAGCTAATGAGATATCTAGACAGCCCCAAACTTTCAGCTTCCTTTCTTGGGTATTCCTTCCTGCAAAAGGTATTTAATCCCTTGTTCATCCCGAATAAAGTATATGCATTTACATCCACCATCAAAGAAACCAGTACGAGCAAGCAAGAATCATCTTAGAGAGTTGTTTTATTAAGGATTGCCACAGGGAAGGCTTTCGTCTTAAAGAGCCGTGCCAAAAACCCCTCAGGAAGGCCTTCTCTCCACCAGCCCTTTCAGCCCTTCCAGTACTCTGGGCACTAATTCCCAATCATACCAGGTTCTTCTCATCTCAGGCTCTGCCTTCCTCTTCCTGCCCAGTGGGTGTATACCCTGAGGGAAAATGAGGACCTTGGACCCCAGTTTCTGACTCCCAGTAGTAAACTGGTGACACCCAAGTACCCAGAGAGGAGACCATAGCATTTTTCCCAGACTCCGTTGTTTCCCCTTCCGGTCCAGCAAAGAAAGACACAGACTGGACCCTTATTTCAGTTTTCCTTCTGCCTCCCCTGAGCAGTGTCCCAGTGGTGCCCAGGCACCACCAGCGGAGAGGCAGAACACAATATGATAGATGCATGTGTCCAAATGTACACAGGTAGAGACCAGAGAAGGACGCCAGGTGTTATTTCTATTACTCTCCCCATTGCTTCATTCTCTGTCTGCACTCCACAGTACTGGACTTGCATACACATACGTGGCTACACCTGGGGTTTTGCCATGGATGCCACGGATTTGAACTTGGGTCTTCATGCTTATACAGCAAGTGCTCTTACCTACAGAGCTACCTTCCCAGCCCTTGTTTCTTCATCTGACTGTGAAAGAGTGACCTGACACACAATACCATAACATTTCATTGATCTCAATGTATGAGCTACCTAGGCATGAGCCTCATAAAACTGAGATTGGAGCAATGGCTTACTGATTGAAGGTATTTTCTGCTCTTCTAAGGGATCTGGGTTCAGTTCCCATCACCTACGTCAAATGACTCACAACTGCCTATTAACTTCATGCTCTCATCTGGTTTCCTCTAGAATTAGACTCAGGTGGTACATATGCCTAGACTCTGGTATATATATATACACATACACATTAAATAATAAACAAACAAACAAACAAATAAATAAATCTTTTAAAAATATTCATAGAATTCTACAAAAATACTTCTACTGTAAAAAGTCATTTTAACAATTTATAGAAATTTCAGTTAAGCTATAGGACCCCTTCCTGAAATAACACAATAATAATTTTAGGATTAAAATTGGAAACATGCTATTTGTTTCCCATTTAACTTGAAGCAAAATAATAATTTGAGTAGCTTTTCAACACCTAACACTTTGGAAAGTAGCCCCTCAGATTCTATACACTAAAAAAATGTTTGAGAATTTCATACATGAATGTAATGCATTTTTATCAAATCCATCCCCTGGATCATTCCTCTCCAACTTCTTAACACCCCTCACCACTTTCCCTCCAAATTTCATATACTTTTTTTGTTAATCCATTGAATGCGCTTAGCACTGCTCCCATGTATAGAGCTATTCATTGGAATGTGGACAGTTTATTAAAGGCCAAGTCTGAGGATACACTGACTACTTCTCCTCTAGCAAAGATCAGTTACCAAAAGCTCCTCAGTTAGGGATGGGACTTCATGAGTCCCATCGTGATCCATGTGGGGATTTTGGTCGGGTTTATCTTCTACAGGTCTTGTGCATGCAGTCATAGCCACTCTGAGCTCATGTGTGCAGTGTCCTTGTTGTGACCAGAAAAGACTGTTTCACAATAGTTATCTACACTTCTGCCTCTTACAACCTTTTTATCCCTTCTTCTGAGATGCTCACTGAGCCTTAGGAAGAGATGTGTCCTATTTAGGGTTGAGTACTCCATAGCCTTTTATTCTCTGTGCTTAAGTCAGTTGTATGTCTCTGTATTAACCATATCTGCTACAAAAAGAAACTTCTCTGATAAAGATTTAGAGCTGCACTGATGAATGGGAATAAAGGTGAGTATTTTGAGTACAGTTTAATACTCTGTCCAATTAGCTAAATAATAGGAATGAGTTCGCCACTCTTGACCTAAGACCTATCAGATCATGGGTTATTGGCCAAATTAACAGTACCAAGTTTGGGTTCTGTCTTGTGTAGTGGATTCCAGTTCCCATCCATGCCATTGTTGTACCAGTAGGCCTATTTTGTCAGACAAGTCATTATTGTAGATCACAAGGCTTATGGCTGGGTAAGAGTGCTGATGACTGTTCTACTCCAGTAGCCTTCCCAGTACCTTTCAACATTATGAAAGTTATCAAGGATGGATGAAGCTTCTAGGTCAGTATCCACTTGATTTCTTCCTGTTCTGTGACTCGGGTATATGGTAACCTCAGCAACAAATAGCATTACGATCAATTTCTGGAATATAAGCAAAAGCAATGTTATTAGTTTGTTGTTGGAGTTTTTAATGAAACCCTACTAAAGACAGCTTAAAAGGAGGAAATACACATCTGGTATGGGGTTTATAGTTTGATATCCTGTGAGAAACATTTTCCTCCCTTATAGGCTAACTCCATTTTAGCTGGGTTTGTATAAGTATTTTTTTAAGGAAGCTTCTACAAGAGTAGGTTTTTGAATTTTTTAAAAGACTTTACTATTAGTTATCTATCTCTGTTCCCTAAACTCTTCCCTTTCATCCTCCACTCTGTTTCATCCTTTCTTGTTCCATTCCCCTTCCCTCGTTCACCCACCTGTATTTTATTAGACTTCTGCCTTGAAAATCCTCCCTACATGACCCCTTTCTAGTTTTATGTCTTCTTCCATTTTAAGCACATATATTAAAAAAATTAAAAGCTAAGATTATCATGTGAGAGAGAGCATAAAGCATTTGACTTTCTGGTTCAGGTTATCTCACAGAAAATAATTATCTCCAGTGTCATACATTTGCTTTCAAATTTCATAGTATTGTTTTTCTTCACAATTGAATAAAATTCCACTGTGTATGTGTACTGCATCTTCACTATTTTCTAGGCTGTTTCTACTTCTTGGCTTTTGTGACTAAAGTAGCAATGAACGTGGATAATCAGGGATCTCTGTCATAGACCATAGAGTCTTTCAAGTACATTCTTAGGACTGGCATTGACGAGTGATATGGTAGATCTATTTGTAACTTTGTGAGGATCCTACACGCTGATTTCCATAGTAGTTAGACTAATTTGTATATCCACTAACAGTGAATACATGTTTCCCTTGTCCCACATCCATGCCAATATTTGTTGTCATTTGTTTTCTTGATTTTATATATTGTGACCACTAGATGAGATCAGAAAATAAGTTCTCCATGTCGTATAATAGTCAAAATAGTGAATTATGAAAAAAAAATTATTTGAAAGCTGCAAAAGAGAAAGACAAAATAATATATCAAAGCAAGCTTGTCATAATAGAAGCTGATTTTTCTATGGAAATTTATAAGCAAGAAGGGCCTGAACCAAAGTACTACAAGTTCTGAAAGACCATAGATGCCAGGCTAGATTATTATACCCAGCAAAACTATCTGTCATAATAGAAAGATAAAGAAAAAGTCTTCACAATAAAAGAAGGTCAACAGAATTTATGACCACCAAGCCAGCCTGACAAAGGATACTGACAGAAATCCTACAGACTAAAAGGACAAATGTATATCTAAGAGGTGACAGAAAAAAATAAACTATGCTAGATCAATGACTAATCAAAGGTGAACTAAGAAAACAAATGCCATGAAATCAACAAAATGACTAGAATCAGTACACAACTTCAAATAATAACTCTGCATACTAAGACTTCCATCACCCCACGTAAAAGGCACAGATTATCAGACTGGATTTAAAAACAGGAACCATCATTTTGCTCCCTACAAGAAACATACCTCACCACCAAAGATTAAAAATTACTTTAGTGTGACATGGTACACCTACACATTCCAAACAAATGGAACCAGGAAACAAACAGGACAAAATAGGAAACAAAATAGACTTCAAACAGAAACTAATTGGAGGCAATAAAGAAGGTCACTTCAGACTGATCAAAGAAACAATCAATCTAGAGGACGTTACAATGCTAAACATGCATGCACTAAACTCAGATACACTGAACTTCATAAAGTAAACGCTGCTAGAGATAAAGGCACAGATCAGTCTCAACACATTAAGGGTAGGTGACATCAGCACATCACTTTTGCCAATTGACAGATTATACACAAAATGAATAGAGGCACAATCATGCTAAGTGACATCATAGGTGAGAGACCTACAGAGCATTACATCTAAACACTAGAGAGTACACATTCTTCTCAGCAGTTCATAAAACTTACACTAAAATAGATGACAGTTTGGAGCACAAGGCATGTCTCAATATATTTAGGAGAGCTGAAATAATTCCTTGAATTTTATTTCACCACAAACAAAGCTAGATATCAGCAGCAATAAAAACACAGAAAATACTTATTAATTAAAAAGAGTCTTAATTAGAGTTAACTGATTGTTTACAGCCTTCTTTTTTACATTAAAAATAGATTTTAATTATTCTTTCTATTCATTTACATCTCAAATTATATCTCCTTCCCTGATTACCCCTCCACAACCTCTATATCCAACATCTGCCCTCTCCCCCTTCTCCTTTGCTTCTATGAGGGTGCTACAACACCCCCCCCCACTTCTCTGCTCTAGCATCCCCCTATGCTGGGGCATCAAACCTCCACAGGACCAAAGGCCTCCTCTCCTATTGATGTCAGACAAGTCCATCCTCTGCTACATATGTATCTGGAGTCCTGGAGTCCTCCCTGTACTCTCCTTGGCTGGTGGTCTAGTTGGATGGACTGGCCAGCCAACAACGTTCTTCCTATGGGGTTGCAATCCACCTCAGCATCTCTAATCCTTCCACCAGCTCCCTGACCAGGATCCCCAAGCTCTGTCTGATGGTTGGAAACAAGCATCCACATCTGCATTGGTCAGGTGCTGGCAGAACCTCCCAGGGAACAGCCACACCAGATTCCTGTCACCAAGAGCCTCTTGGCAACAGCAACAGTGTCAGTGTTTGGCGTTTGCAGACAGGATAGATCCCCAGGTAGGGCAGTCCCCAGGATGGCCCTTCCTTCAGTCTCTGCTCCATTTTTTGTCCCTGTCTTTCCTTTGAACAGGAATGTTTCTGGATTAAAAACTTTGAGATGGGTGGGTGGCCCCATGCCTCACCTGGGTGCCATGCCTATCTCTTGGAGGTAGTCTCTACAGGTTCTATCTCCCCTTTGCTGCACATTTTGGCTAAAGTTATCCTCGTTGAGTCCTGGGAGCCTTTCACTTCCTTGGCATCTGGGACCCTCCAGTGACTACCCCAGTTCCTCATCCTCCACTGCTACATATTTTTATTTGATTTCCTGACCTTCTGTACCTCTCTCCCGTCCCCTCCAGTACCTGATCCTGCCTCCCCTCTCGCCCTCCCAGGATCCCCCTCCCTCCACCTCCAACCATCATCCTGTTCCCCCCTCTATGAAGGACTGAAGCATCCACACTCTGGTTTTCCTTCCTCCTAAGCTCCATATGGTCTGTGGGTTGTATCGTGGGCATTGTGAGCTTTTGGGCTAATGTCCACTTATCAGTGAGTGCATACCATGTGTGTTCTTTTTTGTCTGTGTTACCTCACTCAGGGTGATATTTTCTAATTCCATCCATTTGCCTAAGAATTTCATGAAGTCATTGTTTTTAATAACTGAGTAGTACTCCATTGTTCAAATGTATCACATTTTCTGTATCCATTTTTCTGTTGAGGGACATCTAGGTTGTTTTCAGCTTCTGTTTATTATAAATAAGGCTGCTATGAACATAGTGGGGCATGTGTTCTTGTTATATGTTAGAACATCTTCTGGGTATATGCCCAGGAGTGGTATAGCTGGGTCCTCAGGTAGAACTATTTTCAGTTTTCTGAAGAACCATCATACTGATTTTCTAAGTGGTTTTACCAGCTTGCAATCCCATCAGCAATGGAAAAGTGTTCCTCTTTCTCCACATCCTTGCCAGCATCTACTGTCACCTGAATTTTTTTATCTTAGCCAATCTGGGTGTGAGGTGGAATCTCAGGGTCATTTTGATTTGCATTTCCCTGATGACTAAGGATGTTGAACATTTCTTTAAGTTCTTCTCAGCCATTTGAGATATTTCATTTGAGAATTCTGTTTAGCTCTGTGGCCCATTTTTTAATAGGGCTATTTGGTTCTCTGGAGTTTAACTTCTTGAGTTGTTTGTATATATTAGATATTAGCCCTCAATCAGATGTTGAACATTTTTTTAAGTGCTTCTCAGCTATTTGAGATACCTCAGTTGAGAATTCTCTGTTTAGCTCTGTACCCCATTTTTAATAGGGTTATTTGGTTCTCTGGAGTCTAACTTCTTGAGTTCTTTGTATATTTTGGATATTAGCCTTCTGTCAGATGTAGGGTTGGTAAATATCTTTTCCCAATCTGTGGGTTGCTGTTTTGTCCTATTGACAGTGTCCTTTGCCTTACAGAAACTTTTCAATTTATAAGGTCCCATTTGTTGATTGTTGATCTTAAAGGGTAAGCCATTAGTGTTCTGTTCAGGAAGTTTTACCCTGTGCTCAAGTATTTGAGGCTCTTCCCCACTTTCTCTTCCATTAGACTCAGTGTATCTGATTTTATGTGGAGGTCCTATTTACAACCCTCTTTAACATAAAGTACCTCATACCCGCAAAGGGACTTTTGGCTCAGGCTGGCTAGTGTGGGAGTGGTTGTGGGGAACAAGGTGCTCAAATGACAAGGTAGATGATATATAGTGAAAACAAACAGTAGCTAGGTCAACCTCAGGACTCAAAGCAATATATATATATATATATATATATATATATATATACACATACATAAATATATATGCATATATAATCATATATTATATCATATAATATTACATCACTACATATTATATATTGTATTTATACATAAATATATAGTAGCATGTATAATAATATATATAGTATATACAGCATATTTTTCCCCAAATTCCACATTCTAGGAGGATTCTGGCTTCCTTATCATTTACCATGATGTCCAAACTCTGAGCAAGGATCAACTTCTTGGCTAATATTGAGTGACTCCCTTGATTTTTCATGTCATGCTAATTTTATCCTATAAATTGAGTGGGAAAATGTCTTTAGGTACTAAGCTGAAGATAGTAAATGAGGTTCAAATCTTCTTGTCTGGGCAAATGTGGAGTAGCATCAGGTAAGAAACAGTGTTGAAGATAAAGGAGAGCCAAGCTTTGAGTCAGCTGTCACAGAGCTGACTTTTCTCTGCCTCTTGTAAGGCACAGTCAGACTCAGGCATACGTGCTTATCTGCAGAAGGTGCTATGCACATGGCTGTAGCAAGCAGAGATTTAGATGTGCTTCTTGGTAGCTTGCTGGCTGCAAAATATACTTCTTTTTTAAAAATTGGATATTTTATTTTTATTTCAGATGTTATTCCCTTTCCCCATTTCCCCACAAAACCCAGAAACTCCCTATCCCATCCCCCTTCCTCCTGCTTCTATGAGGATGTGCCCCACCCCCATTCCTACCTCCCCACCCTCGAATTCCCCCACACTGGGGCACCCAGCCTTCACGGGATCATTCTTGTTCAAACCTTGAATCACCTACAGAGGTCGGCAGGGAGCTCTGTTCTTGGAAGATCCAGGCCTATGGTGTTTATACTCTTGGGTACATGGTCTTACCATTGGGCAGAAGGAGACGAGAAGCCTCTGCACTGGCAGTAGAGTTCTTCAGAATCTGGGAGTGAAACAGTTATAATCCATTAACCATTAACCAGAAACAGTCGAGTACAATCTCCCTTTGTGATCAGGAGAGGAGAGCTGGCTGTGATTCAAAACGAGAAAAATCACCACAGATACTCCCCACAACTCAAGACAAAAACATGCAATCTAGGTGAAGGCACTTGCTACTAAGCTGGTCCCAATTTCTGATAGAAAAAGAAAACTGATTGCTACAAGTTGTTCTTTTATGTAACCTTCAACCCTGAGGTATAACATGTTCACCCCACGTACTTTCTCATACACACACATACACAAAACATGAAATGGAATAAAAATCTCTGTCGATATGCAACTTATCTAAGAGATGAGTATGTTGAGAATTCCTTGGTTATTCTGTCACTCTAACACATTTTGTTTTTCAGCCATTTTCTTCTCCAGTCCATGTTTCTGTATAAATACCTTTACTGAGTTCAATGTTTCGATTTACATTTCACACGAAATCAAAGTCCAGTACTTTCTCACACTGCTTCCTGTTCTCTATTAGCGTCATCTGAGAACTGCCAAACACTTCAATTCATGGGTTGTCCTATGCTCAGAATACGCACGGCTTAGCATAAAGTCTTTCTAATGCATCATCCGGTTCTGAGTCAGATGGATTCACCCAGCCCTGTCTAAAGGGATTAGGCTGAGCAAGGTCAGTATTGTTGGACAACGTTTCCTGAATAAAATATTAAATCTTTGCTGTAAATACTACTGATTTTTTTTCCTTTGAATAATTGAAGCTTTTAGGAGTAAGGCACTTAGCTGTTTGATTGACAGCTGTCAGACCATCTCCTTGTGCTTGGATGCTTTGAGCAGGGAGCTGTCATCCAAACAACCCGAATTTTTATGACTAGATGGGCTGTCAACCCAATATGCTGACCACTCTGAATACTTCATCTTTGAGATAATTTATGCTGCAGTTGCAAAGACTGCAGCGAGGGTGGCTGCTACTGAAGCCATGGCCTTTGCCTTTTCTCTAGTTACAAGTGTTCCACATATCTTGCACTAGCTTCTGGAGACTATACCTTAGCTATAAGAAACCTTGGTGACCTTTAGATAATTTTGACTACAGTGGCTCTGGGTGGCACACCTGTTTCATAGCATCGGGAATCTCTTCTCCCAGTAACTCAGCAGCAAGCCTGTGGTTGGCAGAGAGGATGCTGTGCACATGTAAAATTTGTGGCTGATGACAAAGGAAGTCATACATGAGTCTACCTCATTCTTTTTGGGGGGGGGGGCTATGTAAGCAATCTGGTTCTTGGTCTCTTTAATTCCTCTTCATTAGCCCTGCTGTGTTGTAACACCAATCTCCAGTAAAGCTTCTATGAAAGGATCTTATATATTTACCTCCTATTTTTGGCCTTTATCACAGGTAGAATGAACTAAGGTGGTTGCACAAAGAACAAGCAAATCCCTGGGACTTCCAGCTCAGATGACTGCAGGTATATGACTCTGAGAGAATGATCTCTACTGCTGTAAGGCCCTGAGGAGGCCTGAGGGCTTTAAGCTCTTGGCTCACTCAGCTGAGAGGAGATGGCTACAGAGATGAGAAAGGACTGCAAAGATGCTGAGCAGGCACCAATGTGTGGAAAGGTAAGACTGTGGGAAACACTACAAAGAGCCAAGTGGAAGAATCGCAGGTGCCAGCCAGTGGAAGGCTTCCAGACATCTGCTAAGGCTAAGAGCTGAGAGCCTTGACACCAGCAGCTCGGTGTCTAGCTGCTGAGTGTTGGGCCATAGTTATTCAAAACCTAAAGCAATAAGTGTCTGACTTAAGCACCCTGAGCTATAAATCTCTGATTTTCAAAGCCTAGGGGCATAAGTCTCTCATTCTCAAGACCCAGTGTAGAAGCCTGGAGGTTAGAAGCCCAGCCCATAGGCTGTCAACACTGCCTCCTGCCTGTTCTTTTCCATCCAAATGGAGGAGCTGGTTTTTTTTTTTTTAAACAGTTTAACCCTCACAACACACCTAAACTGAAGACACCATTTTATCCTCATTTATACATAGGAAGCCTGAACTCTGAGGGAAGAGTATAGAGACAGCATGCTCTTAGGCAGGTAGCAGAGTCAAATTAAGAATTCATGACAATTACCAGGTTTTCACATTTGACTTTGCATGGCCCTTTTCCCCCAATGATCTTCACTCACTGGCTCAGTGAGATCTCCCCAAAGTAGACCTACAAACTGTCCATAGCAAGCTAGACTTTGAAAGATATTATTTCTGCAGGAGTGTGTGTGTGTGTGTGTGTGTGTGTGTGTGTGTGTGTGCAATATGGCATGAAGGCTATGGTTTTCTTGAAAGCCTGCTCACATCACCTCAAGTCTGTCTCCTTTCCTTTCCCTTTGCCCCAAATGCCACTGTCTCGGCTTTCTCCAGCGTTTTCTCTGCACTAGTCCAGTCCTAACTCTGAAATCTTCAGAACTCAGCTCTGACTCATTTCCAACAAGCTCATTCTCTGCCTCTGCCTTTGCCGCCGTTTCCTCTCCCTGCTGCTTTCCTGACTGCATTCATGTCTTTTTATCAGGCAGAATAATTCATTCCTCTTGAACCTTCAGCTCCTCTCTTCATGCTCCCCGAGATGGACGTCTAAGGTGTGTGCATCCCACACCCCACATGCTAAGAAACCATCTTCTTGATAAGGTAACAAAGGATTGGCGAATGGGGTACTCTCCATACCATGCCCTCTCCCTTGTGCTCTGCTCCTTCCCTCCTTGATGTAGTCACAAGATTTCACACAAGTCAGCATTGCATGCCCTTTTTAAGTATGAGGGGAGAGAGTTCCTAGGCTGATGTCTGCCTTGATGGATCTCCTCTTGTTGGGTCTTTCTCCCTCATCTGCATTATTGGCTCTTAGGGACCCAAAGCAGTTACATTCTTGAGTCTTTCCTTGCTAGCTAAATATTATGAGTCCTTAGCATGACAGAACCTAGGGAGACATTAGCCCAAGGAAGATGCTACTTAGCTACTCAATAACACTTTTCATTTCTGTGTGACAGAGTACCAGGCAGATATAAGCAGAAACTATCAAGAAAGGACTCTGAAGACTAGAGTACAGGTTCTGGGACTTAGAACTGAAGTCTTGAGATCTTGGGTATGCTGCTTCACTGACCTCTGCCTCTATTTTGTCATCTGCAAAACAGGTACAATTTTCCACCCACTCTTCTGTCCTGTAAGCTGATAGTTGATGTGCCCAGAATGCGTAGGAGTGAGCACTGCATGCATAAATCTGGTCCAGCAGGCAGCAGTCATCTCTTTCCCTTGATTGTCCCCTTTTCAGGCTGGATCATCCATCAGCTCTCCCAAAGTGCAAAGAGGAAAGATGGGCTGTCACCAATGTCTGCTTCTCTCTGCTGTCTTGCCTTCTGAGAGTAAAAGCATGAATCAGCCAGGAAGCTGTGGCCCTGAAGCCCATAGAAATGGCAGGAGGAGGAGCTGACCCTACAATGGCCATGCTGTGTCATCGGCAGAGGCAGGGAGCCCAGAACAGAGGCATAAACAGCACCTTAAGCTAAACAACAGCCAACAGCTGGGAATTTGCCAAAGCTTCCCTCAAAAGCTGCCTCCTCCACCCATCCAGGGATAAAGAAAGGAAAGTCAGTGCTAACAGGAAACTCTCAGAACTGCCTCAACCCCAGTACAGTGCAAAAAATGAGACGGAGACAGCAAGCGATTGGCCCAAAGCCATGCGTGGATCGAAGATTATCTGATGTGTGCCCAATAAGCTGCTCCTGAGCTAGAGACTAGAGCTCTTCTCTGAGATGGGTGTCTCATCCTTTCTCTATGGGGCCATTGTAGCTGCTCGGTGCTTCAACAAGAACAAACAGGAGAAAAATCGAAAGCTGAGCTTTCCTAGGAGTGGGAACCTCATCCATCCTCAGAGAACAGCTGAGTTAGGGATCTGGACTTTTATGCTGTCACTCAGACAACTCTCCAACGATACAGAATCAAACTAGTATTTCTGCCTTGTAAGTTTGCTGGCTAATGGGTAGACAAAACAGGGGTGAATTCAGCAAGCAGGACACATGACAGGAGTGCAGGAAAGTTCTGTGAAGCAAGGCAAGTGAAAAGGAAACAGGTGGAAGAGAATGACCATCGTGAAGGTTACAAATCATTTGAGTGAGGAAGGGAGCAGGCCAGGTAGACATTGCAGAGAGTAGAAGAAGAGCAGTCTGAGTAGAAGACCCAGTAGAACAAAGTGAAGTACAGCGACATTGCTTACGAGCTGTCAGGAGTAGAGAAGCACAAATGAGGGAGAGGTGTCAGAGAAGAGGTTAGAAAAAGATCTGGAAATCTTTTAAGATGTTATAAAGAGTTTAAAATGTGGTGAATGCCGCTGCTGACTTTGTACAAGCAATGGTGTTCCCTGACTTGGAGACTAAAGGGAATATCTTCTGCTGTGTGGAGGACTGATTGCCTTCAAATTATAGTTATAGACAGAGGCAGGAAACACAGAGGAAGAGGGAGAACACTGAAAAGGACTCCAGGTCTGGCGGCAGAGTGGCATTATCTTCCTGAACTGCATTCTATGTGGCAGAGTGGTCTCTATGAATATGCTCCCCTTGTAGCTACAAGGCTGGGGTAGATTGGAAGTATAAGTACCCAGTTGCCTTTCTGTAGGGCCAAAAAATCAGGACCTTGCCACCTGGAAGAAACCCAGAAAACAATAGCCAAACCCATGCTAAAGCTGAAATTCCCCACAACCACTTTGAAGCAATGACTATGCTTGAGAATATTAACACATATCCTGGAGTGGCAGCAAGGGACTCTTCATCTGTAGTATTGACAGTTCATGTAGGGTAAATACTCCCCCATGAGACTATATTAATAGTTCATGTAGGATAAGTACAGATTTTGAGCTGCCAATAGTTTAAAATGGCTAGCTAGATTCCTAAGGGGCTGGAGATTAGCTCAGTTGGTAGCATGCTTGTCTAGCATTTATAAAA